AGTAGCTAAGATTCACAGGTCCAGGAACCAAGGCGTAGTAATGGAGTGGCACCACTCATAAAATATTTGTTTACTGGGCAATGAATATACAGATGTGCTTTACACAACTGATGTATGTATGGATTGTGATAAAAGTTGTATGAGCCTCTAATAAAATGATTTAGAAAAAAGAGTTCTATGAGCCCACAATGATTTTTTTTAAAAGACTTCATCAAGAAACAACAGTAGGATACGTTTGAGCCATACTTCCTAAATTGTGTATGTCTGCATGTGTGCCTGTTTGCAAATCTCACTCTTTATTATTTCATTCCAGCCCATTAGACAAAATAACCCCTTCTTGACTGTTTTTAATAATAAAGCTTACATTTAAAAAATATATAAGAATCAAATAAAAGAGTGAATCATAGACTAAAAAATATATATATTTGTTGACTTTCCCTTGAGCCTATACTCTTCAGGTCTGGAGGTCATAGTTCCAAAATTTAAGAATAACTTCCAAGCACTTTGGGTTTCTTATGCTTCTGGAAAAACAAGAAAGAAAGAATATTAGGTAAAAAAAAAAAAAAGAAAGAATATTAGGTGCTGTGATTGATCTTCACAACCAAGGGAAAATCAGATTGATTATACTTAATGGAAGTAAAGAGGAATATGTTTGGAATCAAGAAGATTCCTTAGGACACCTCTTATGACTACCCTGCCCTGAGATTACAGTGAATGGTAAACAGACGGTCTACTCATGTCTGATCTCCACCTCATGGGAACTGGCTTCGGGTGATGCTAATGTTTCTTCTCTCTCCCCCTGATGAAAATACTTCTCTCTAAGGAACTCAAATTACAAGCGTTCTAGTATTACTATTTGGGGGAGGGAATAGTAAAATCTGTAACAAGATGGTAACAATGCAAAAGAAAAATGTTGTAGTTAAACATAAACCTGTGGGAAAAATAGAAAGACTTCACCAGTCAGTAAGGTCCAATTGGTAAAATGGAGCAATTTGAAAAATAACTATTATTAAACACAAAGCAATGACTCTAATTGTGGGATACAGAGAGGTTATTCCCCAGGTTGTCCCCCCATATTATATGCCAGACCTAAGATTCTGCTTGATAACACATGGTCAATGACGGTACACTTGGAAGTCAACTGCTTAAAGGTTATCTGCCTGAGGATTATCAGCCATCTAGAGCAATCAGACTCTATAGTCTGTCCCACCCTAGGTGGGGTCCACTATCTTCTGATAAGGATAGTGGATTGTTCCCCTGAAGGAGAGCCCAAAGACAAGGTCAAGCCAACTCAAGGAGGATCAAGTTTAGGCTGCCATCTTGAATATAGAGTCCGCCTATCTTGTCACATGTATACCCCGAGTGCTTCCCCTTCCTATTGTGTGCACACCCGTACCTAATCCCCTTCCTGTCTCGTGTATGCCTATTATACAGCCCCTTCCTGTTACGTATGTGGTTACCTGTAATTAGGTGGGCTTGCATGCCCCCTAATTGTAAATAAGCCTTGGTTAGAAATATATTCACTCAGCACGGACCTGGCTGCTGAGATCATGGCATCTGGGAGGTGAGCACTTGCATGGTTTATCTTGTCTGATGTCTCTTTAATTTTACCCCTCAATTAATTACACAACTACCTCTTGGACACATTCAATTGTGAGGGTTGGTACCCCACACTCTAATAACTCTCATATGGTCAGGTGGTATGAAGTCCACTTTAATTTTAAAGGAGCCCTGGTGACACTCTGGGTTAAGTGTTGATTCACTAACCATAAGTTCAGTAGATCAAACTCACTAGTCACTCTGAGGAAGAAAGATGAGGCTATATGCTCGTATAAAGATTTATAATCTCAGAAAACCTGTATGGGCTCTCTGAGAGTCAGAACCAACTGAATGGCAGTGGTTTTATTTGTTTGTTTGTTTGTTTAAAATATCAAAAATATAAGGAGAAGTAGTATACAAAATCTAAAGATTCCACATGACCTTGTTCTGTGGTCTCCGGCAATCGTGGTTTTGGCCATCAGGCTGGATAACGTAGGTTTATGAGTGATCTGGACAATCCGCTCTGCAATCTTTGAATTAAGAGAAGTGAATCCAAGTTTTAACTTTTAGAAGTTCAGTGGCACACGGGTCCTTAGGACTTTTTTCCATTTTTTTTTATGAAGCTCAGTAGAATCTTTTAGCTGATGTCCTCTCTTTTTAATATACATGATCCTTCAGAATGAATGCCAGAAGACTTTGGGGGTTTGGGTTTTCACTCATAAAAAGGTACTTAACCCGTGGAAAAATTCTTTGGAGTATTGAATATGCATAGTAAGGGTGTGTGTGACAATTTAATTAAAAGCACTCTATAGACTGTTTATATAACACTATCTTTGAAGACCAATTAAAACAATCATTGATTTGCTCTAAACACAACTATAAGTTAGATCCCTGGAGTTCATTTCTGGAAACAGACAGAATCCATCCAAAGAGCATAATACCCAGGCAAAGTGATTCCTGCTTGCATGGATTTTGCCTCTGCCTCTGCCTGCTGACTTTAGATCACGTGACTCCGCACCAGCCAGTGATCGCCCAGCTTCCTGCTTCAGCTTCCTGTTTACTGACTTGCAGCTCCGTGAGTCTGGAGGGTCGTCCAGCTAACACATGGGCTTGAGTTAGACTGGGCTGAGCCCTTTTCTTGTTATAAATTTCCTTCTTGATATAAAGTTCTTTCTTATACATATGAGTGTCACTGGTTTTGTTTGTCTAGAAAACCCAGCCTAATACAATATCCCAATTATGATACCTCTCCCATTTTTATAAACCCACCTGTGAATGTAATGAATTGATCTGCCACCAGTCATGATTATGTGACAATTTTCTGTGTTCCTTTTTTTTTTTTTTAATCCAAAATGGGTTTATTAGAATGGCTTACCACTCATCGCGATTCAGGGTCTTTTAGTGCTGCTTCTGTCTGCAGGAGCATCCTTCTGTGAGCCTTGCTTTTCCTCCAGTCGGCTGACAGAGGACAGTAGAGCAGCTTACACACAAAACGACTGTTTGTGCATGGCTGAAGACCGTGGTGATTTGATAGCCGTCTGGGCCTTTGACGTCCATGAAGGAGTTATTGGGGCTCTGCACCAGGCGCTGCTTCTTGTGATTTCTCTTCTCCTCTTGGGAGAGGGATGAAGGCGATCCTTTGCGAGAGGCATGATTGCCAGGGCTGTCGGCAGCGCCGGAAGAGCTTTGTGTTCCTTTAAAGTACCTGTGTGATTGTGAACCTTTGGACTCATGCTAATAGTCTTATCAGAATGATTTGTCTTATTTAAGACTCAATAAATGGGCCTCTATAAATAACAGAGCTAAAGGTTAGGAAATCATAATTGGTTGAAAGACATTTGAGGAAATCTAAGGTGAGATATCTAAAAGTGGAGTGTGGCAAGGGTAGGTGGAACCACGCTGGTAGGATTGCATGATTGCTTAAGGGCACATAATTGCAAGTATATGTGCTTTTCAATTTACCATCAAAGGATGGTAAAAGGGTGATGAAAAGGCAGGTTTTTCTAGTAAACTACTATAAAAATTGATTTCTCAATCATGTCTGTTTCTGGGGGTCATGTGTTTATGACAATTAAGGAAAAATCCTCTGGGAAAAAGCTGACACCAAACCTCAGAGAAAAAGGATGTCTCCTTTAGGGTAGGTAGGTCAACATCGAGGTTGCAAGAACTGCTATTAGACAAGACAGTTTTAAAAATTCAATGTGGTTTCTAGACTCATGTCAGTACTTTAAAAGACTCTCCGCTCTGAGACTGCTCCACTAACACACACCAAATGCTTCTGATTTATGTTCTCAAACAGGAGGAAGCAAGATATTCTAAAATGTGTTTTCTTTTTCAAAATAGATAGCTTAAAAATTCCCAAATAAAAGGCTCAATAGAAAGTAAATGTTGAGAAAATAATGATGGCAACATATGTACAAATATCCTTGATAAAATTGATGTATGGATTATTATAAGAGCTGTAAGAGCCCCAGTAAAATGATCTTTTAATAATAAAAAATCCCCAAATAACTCAATTCTATTCTCTCCTGCATAATTTGATACATCACCTCTATCATAAAGCAAATGTTTGGCTATCTCCAATCTTTCCTACTGATTTATTTGTCATATGTGTATCAAATAAACATTTTAAATTATAGCTCCTTATCATATATGTCTTGATACTAGGTAGGCTGGTCTTTTTTTTTCTTCTTTTTCAGGTAGGCTTAGCTTAAGGAGAAAATTAGCATTTTGATTTTTCCTTATTTTGTATTTCTAAAATTTCCAGTAAGGTTGAACAACTTTTCAAGTTTCTTGGTCATTTAAACTTTATTTTAGGGCTATCTAATTCATATCCTCCACTTACTTATCTAAGGAGCCCTAGTAATGCTGTTGGGTAAGCATTAGGCTCTCTCCAGTGGGAGAGCGAAGAGGCTGAGGCTTCTGCTCCTAGAGAAATGGATTAAGCCTCAGAGATCCTCTATCTGGTTGCTGTGATTTGGAATCCACTTGATTGAAGAGGGTTTTACGGTTTTCAACTCATTTTTTCTATACTATCTATTGAAAATTACCCCTAGCTCTTGTAGCTTTACTTATGGTTTTTATAAGAATGGAAATTTTAGTTTGGGTGCAGAAAACTTTCAGTCTTTCCCTACATGTGATTATTGTGCTACAAATAGGTATAGCAAAGCATCTGCTCTTTCAGCATTTAACATTTAATTTCTTATAATTTAATGATGCAATATTACCACGACCTATTTGCAAAATTTCCCATTACCTTTACCCGAAATTCAATGCTGAGAACAATGCCTTTTACAGACAAGAAAATTGAGTCACAGTCATGTTGCATAGAGCTTAAGTCCAAAACGCAGGTCTGCGATTATTCCGCGTCCAAAAGCACCATCTATTCCAAAGCTTTGGACGTGGGACTTGGGAAAGTGACATTGATGGTGCTGCTGCTGACAGTTGCGTCAAGCCAGAGCCAAGGAGTCAATTCCCACGTCTCACTTCGCAAGGATGAGAAGACTCAGTCCGGCTCTTGGCAGCATCTCCTCCGAGCAGCTGCGGTGGGGGACGCCCGCTCCGCCCTCGGCGCCGCCGGGAACGCACGCCGGGGTTCGCGCAGTGCCGCCTCGCAGAGGTGCTCCGGCGATGGGGAAAGGCTCAGCCGAGGAGGCCTACTTCCAGAGGGGCAGCCTGATCTGGTTCACGGTCATCGCGCTCTCTCTGGGCTACTACACGGTAACTACGAGGGGCCAGCGCTCGGCCGAGCTCAGGTTCCACTCCCACCGGCACGAGCAAACCGGGCTGCCGCGCCTGGAGCCGAGCAGGGCGCCCGCGCCGGGCGGCCTTTGTCGGCCTAAGGCGTCCGCAGAACGAGTCAGGCGGTCCCGGCGGCGGGGCCAGCTCGCCACCCACTGCGCAATGTCTAGATCCTCGGGGGTGGCGGATTCAGATTCCTAAGGACTGCCACCTCTCGGGTCACAGCTCCGGGTCGGGGCAAGTCCTCCACGGTGAGACGTGGGGCGATGCTCGCGGGTATTTTGATCCTCGCCGGGGTGGAGGGTGGGGCTCGCACTGGCGTTTTTTCTAGGTTACTGGTACCAGGAAGTTCTATGCGCTCAAATGGTAACCTTTTTTAGAGCAAACCTGCTTCTCAAACTCCCTGTGATTTCTGTGTCTAAGACAGGGGTCCTCAAACTTTTTAAACAGGGGCCAGTTCACTGCCCCTCAGACCGTTGGAGGGCCGGACTATAGTTAAAAAACAAACAAACAACAAAAAACTATGAACAAATTCCTATGCACACTGCACTTTTTTTTTTTTTTAAAGGTGGAAACAGACCCAGTCATGTACACGGCGGCCTGCTAGGTCTCCTTGCTTTACTAGTTTCCAGCCGATCAGTTTAGAAAGTTGTAGAGGGTGAGGCGGGAGAGAGTGAGGCCACCATCAGGAGTTCTGGATGTACTCTCCTGGGGCAGGCTTGGCAGGTACAGACTGTGGGACAAGACCTCCCAGGCCCCACCGGGAGCGATTCATGCAGTGACCGGGCTGGAGCCGCTGACTGGGGCATGGCCTTGTAGTGGTTGCATCTGCTCACACAACTTAGGGGGTCAGCACGGGCCCTGGTGAGGGCTGGAGCCCCTTTGGGAATTGGGGCTCATAGGGATGAGACCAGATAGGCAGGGAGGGGCTGCCAGGCTGAGGAGAGAAGCCAAGGGTGTTATGTCTTTCAATGCACAGACACCCTAAGACCAGAGTCCCAGCCTCGAGCCTCGGAGGCCAAGATGAACCAGCCCTCGGCCCCATCCTGGCCCAGGGGGTAGGGTCATCAGGAAACACCATCCCCCCCATCCAGCCCTCCCTGCCTGAAGGTCAGTAGGCTGTAGTTCTAAAGGGGGGTGACCAATGCCTGTGGCTGCTTGGGGTTAGGCTGCCCGCTTACTTCCCCTGGGAGACAGATTTGTTGCCTTTAAGGATGGACTTCAGGGAGCTGCTGAATATTCAGAAGCGGGACTGCCCCCGCTTGGGGCCATCATTGAGGAACTCGTGGCCAAGCCCGTGGCCGCATTTACCGCAGGACACCTTAAAGGCTGATTGTGCTCGGGCCACTTGGCCACGCTATCATCGTGGATGGTCCCCGTGAAGGCTGGCCATGGCGACAAGTGCTCGTGCTTGGAGCGGCTGGAGAACAGCTCGTAGCCGGACTTGACACACGTACACAGCGGGTTCAAAGTGATTCTGGAAAACCTCGCCCTGGGAGAAGCTGCAGAAAGACAGAGTGCCACCAGGTTCCCGTCTGGCTCTCACACTCCGACAGCTCCGAGTGCACCGACCCCACCGCACATATCTTATTTTGAAGTAAAAGAACAAAACGGGCAAAAACACCCAGCTGGTCGGATAAATGTCCTCGGCGGGCCGCATGTGGCCCCTGGGCAGTAGTTTGAGGACCCCTGGTCTAAGGTGAGCGAGCACACGGAGGTGGGAAGACAAGGGGAGAGACTGGCATAGGACCAGGCAGGGCTTTGGGAAGTAGAGGCTTTATAGGCCCGTGAGATTGCTTTGCAAATGGAATCAACCCAAAGAAAGAGTAGGTGTAATTGGTAACTGTAGTAAGGTGTAGGTGTGGAAACAAGAGAAATGATCTCTACTGAGAGAAGATCAAGCTCTTAAAGGGCCCCGGGTGCTCTTAAAGGGTAATGAGAAAGATGTCTATCAAACTAGGCTGTGGGTGAAGTTGGAAGGGTTTTGAAGGAAGGCAAGGCTGTTTGGATATTTCCCAGGAGATCCTGAAGGCCGGGGCATTGAAATATGTTATGCCCACAGTGTTCTGTTTGATCACCTCTGCCCTGCTTTCGGAGAATTGAGCTGAGAAATTTCAGAGGTGACTTTCTGTTATATGATTCTGGGTCACCTGACTAGTTGGGATATATGCCTTGTCCATGAGCTTGTCTTTTAATTCCACATTTTCACGAACTGTTTGAAGTCCCTGTTGTATGGCAGAAAGCTTTGGAGAACTTTAAATTGGGACTTTGTGGAGCTGGTTACTCCTAGTCCTATGGTTTGGAAGGATGCAGTTATTCTTTCATTCAAATTTTGGTTTTGAAACAGGGTAGGAGTACTGTTGCTTTAGGTTGAGCTATGACTAACATCATGAATTCTGGGACTGTTGGTACTTCACTTTTCTCAGAGAAGCCTAAAGCGGCAGAAGTTAAAATAGAAACTTGGAAAAAGATATTACAAAATGTAATTAAACTATTAACACTTCAAAAAACCGTTCACGGTTATTTTCGGACTTCCGAGTATTCCATTCCCAGGTGAGAGGTGAAAACCAGTGAAGAGGGAGCAAACAATAGAAAACCCAATCGGTTGCCATGGAGTCAGTTCTGACTTCTGGCAAACCCATGTGTTACAGAGCAGGCTGCGCAATGAGTTTCCTCAGTTGTGTTATTGTTGTCAGTTGTCATCAAATTTGTTCTGACCCATAGCGACCCCATGCACAACAGAGCAAAACATTGTTGGCTCCTGTGCCATCCTCACAGTTGTTCCTGTACTTGAGCTCTAGTAATTTTTTTTATTGAATTAAAAAAAATTTTATTGGAGTCTTGTATAGCTCTTATCACAATCCATCCATCCATCCATTGCTTCAAACACATTTGTGCATATGTTGCCATCATCATTTTCAAAACATTTTCTTTCTACTTGAGCTCTTAGTATGAGCTCATTCCTCCCCTCCCCCACACTCCCTCCCACATGAATCCTTAATAATTTATTATTTTTTTCAAGTGTTATACTGACCACTGTCTCCCATCACCCACTTGTCTCTTGTTTGACCCCTGGGGGGGGG